TGCCAGACTGTAGGCTGAGCTGCAGAGGCTGGATAAAGAGGATGAGTGCAGCTGATGCCTAGGGAGGAAACTGTAGTTGCCCCTCCTGTGTCTGTTCCCTCTGTTGTGTCAGATTGTGTTTTCCCCCAGTAATGTCACACCCCTGAGTCGTCCCCTCCTGTTCCTATGGTACGTAGATCCTCCAGACTGGCGGAAGCTGCTGGGGGGGCTGGTTTAGCTGATCTTCCCTCTCGGCCTACTCCACCTCCGGTACCTGTCCCCCGTCAGCGCAAACGTGGTCAGGAGGTTGTGGGGGTGCATGGATGGGGGAGGAGCCGATGGGGCTCAGGGAGGGGTATCCATGTCCCATGTCTCTCGCCTCCTGCTCAGGGGGGGATTCAGCTGATGAGGGGTGGGAGAGGGTGAAGGAGAAGAGGAAGAAGAAGAAGAGGAGGATGAGAAGAAGCTGTCCCTCTCTTCCTCAGAATCAGATCCAGGAGGGGTCCCTCTTGGCAATACTTTTTTCAGTTTTGTCAGGTGATGAGATGGTAACTGATATATCCATTTCTCTATCATCTATGGATGAGGGGGAGTCACACGTACTCTGAAGAGAGCTGTTTCGGGTGATGAGATGTGGTAGAGGTTAAGAAACGACTACCCCAATCATCCTGATGGCAGTTCCCACTCTCTGTTAAAGGTGGGCGACCATTAATGTCCGCCAGCATTATTAAATCTGCAAGAGTTCGTGATACGGCCTTATTTTTGCTCAGCGAGTTTGATGCTGAGATTTTATTTTTGCAAGAGACCTGGCTCAAATACATTGGCCGATGTCCTATCTAGCAAAAAGGGAGTGGAGATGTGGTCCCTCCTTTTGGTCTCTTGGCGGCTGAACCTTGCAGCGAGTTGCGGTCCTTTTTAAAAACCGATATGGTAACGTGCCGGCGGGTAATTGAGGTAGAAATGGGGAGATGCAGGTCTTAGACGTCTCTGTTAGGGGGCAGGACCTGCGCCTGAATCAATATCTATGGACCGCAGTCAAAAATGGGGCAGGAAATGCCTCCTCACAAAGATCAAGCCCTTCCTCTTTTACGTCCCAGCAGGTTGTCTTTGGAGGTGACTTTAACACCAATAATTAGGCCTGAAGACAGGAGAGGCTCCATAGACAGGCTGGGTTATGATAGCGTTTTTCTCAGAGATTAGGTTAGACAGGCAGGCCTGGTAAGATGTGCACATTAAGCACTGCCCTGGCAGCACATGGGGTTCACATTTTCAGAGAGGGAATAGTCAGAGCAGGATAGACAGGTTTTTTTAAAGGAGAACTCTGCTTTCTCAGCTCCTGAGTTGAAGGAGGTGGAGTTTCTCTGATCACTGTATGCTGTCTGTGACTCTGAATGCCTCGGACACTCCACCCAGGGGAAGGGTGTTCTGGAAACTGAATTCGGCTCTCCTGGAAGATGTAGAGGTAAGACAATCCTTTGAGGATTTTTTTCAGGCACAGGTTTCTATTCTGGACTTTTGCAGCAGTAAGTCAGAGTGGTTGTGGAGCTTGTGAAACAAAGGGCGATTGGACTTTTCAAGGCCCATAAGTAAGAAGAAGCATCTTGGTATGTATATTGCCTACCAGCAAATTTGCGGAGGAAGCTTGATCGTCTTGTCTCGTATGGAGGAGATGCCGGGGGAGATCTCTGAAGTGAAGCTTCTTCTTAGGAAGTGTCAATACGACCGGCATGCCTCCTTGGTTCTGGAGAGGGATTATGGGAAATATCACTCGCCTGATCCTTACCAGAACTGTAAGCAAGGCAAAGCAGTTAAGACGGTCATTGGCCTGCAAGACAGTACGGGATTCCCTGATAAAGTCCAGATCAGGGATCTTGGAGATCTTTGGGTCGTATTATGCAGACTCCTGGGAAGAAAGGACCTTAGCCGGGACAGGATGGAAAGCTTTCTGGATTCTACTCCAGGATTGGAAATGGTGCATTGCTTTTGATGAATTTTGACAGAACCAATTTCAGCGGATGAGGTAGTTCAGGCTATAGACAAGCTGGCTACCAAAAAATCGCCTGGGCCAGATGGATTGACAGCTGAATTTTACAAGTGTTTTAAGTCCATTCTGGCTCCTTTTTAGCGGAGGTTTTTTTAACAGCAGTGTCTAAGTAAGAGGGTTCGCTCCCTCCCAATCCATGAGGCAATCCGCTGTGATACTTCTGTCAAAAGGTAAAGACCCCCTCAATGATTGAGAACTGGCGCCCCATCAGTCTTCTCAATGTGATAGATCTTGGCAAAGATTCTATTTTGGCGCTTGTCGTCCAGTAGCATGCGATTTTTTGTCCAGCCATCAGCACTGTTCGGTCCAGGGTAGAAGTACCTTTACAGCATTTTTTTGGCTATCCGGGAGGCTTTGGAACGATGCATGGCTGCTGGATGGAGAAAGTACTTGCTGGCATTGGATCAGGCAAAAGCTTTTGATCGAGTGAATCATGAATATCTGTGGTGCTGCTGCATGGTAGATACGGCCTGCAGGAGGTTTATAGATTGGCTGAAGACATTATATAACGGGCTGAGAGCTTTGCCCACTTGTTAATGTTTTGGGTTGGGCAGCCTTTTGAGGTCGGCTCTGGTGTGCGCCAGGGATTGTCCTTTGAGCCCCCCTGCTATAATGCTTTCGCATCGACCCCCTTTGTAAGAAGGCTAGAGGGCGCATCGTTGTGCGGGGTGCCTCTGGGCATTGCTGGTGTGCCTCCTTTGAAGGTCGTTGCCTATGCTGATGATGTGTCTGTTATTATCTCTGGGACTGAGGAGGGCGCAGGAGGTGGTCTCTGTGATAAAGCAGTACAACGGAGGCTTTCTGGCTCTAAAGTCAACCATGAAAAGAGTGAAGTATCTGGATGGGTGAGGAGGGTGAAAGCTTCGAACTTCCGGATGCCTTCCCAGATCCCCCAGCAGGAAATTAAAATTTTTGGGCATCAAAATTTGGTCCTGGTGACTATGGTCATCGAAATTGGGAAAGCAGGTTGGTAGTTGCCAATGCCAAAGTAGCAAGCTTGGAAGAGATGGAGGCTTTCCTTGAGAGAGAGGTTGACTTGATCAAAACTTACCTGATCCCGATCTTTTTTTATATGTCAGCTTCGTCTGTATCTTGCCAGTATCTCTCTATGCAAGGGTCTACAGCTGTTTTTTTTCCACTGTTATGGGGAAATAGGCTGAACCTGATCAAACGCAATGTAACTTACCTGTCCAGGCGGGAGGTGGGCCTAGGAATGGTCAACCCGATAGTTTTCTTTTTCTTTGCTCTTTTTAAAGTACAATCTTGGTAATATGTTAGCAGAGACCCCGCCTGGGATGGGTGGGTATTTTTCAGTCTTGGTTTAGGCCTTTTCTGCATTGCTGGGAAGATGGCGGCCAGTGAAAAGTCTGAGAGTCCGACATGCAAGCTCCCGGCTTATGTTGCCCCCCGTGTCTGAAAATACTTCGGCAGTGGCAGGTGACAGTGGAGGATATCAGGTCCCTTCCCAGGAAGCTTCTGGGGGGAGAGGATTTTGGCTTCTGCTTTCAGTGTGTCACTGGCCTTAAAGGATTGCCCAGGCTCCGTAATGAGGGAGGGATTGCGTTTAATTAACTTGGAGAGAATCCCTTTGAAGTTTAGGGATCAAGCCTGGCTTGCTTTTCATGGAAGGCTCTATGTGAGAGGGAACCTGAAGCACCGCCCTGTGGATGATCGGATTGTCCTAGAGCAGAGTGTGTTGGTAAGGTGGAGTCTATGGACCACTTTCTGCTCCTGTGTCCCTTTAACATAGAGGTGTATAAAAGGGTGGGGAGGGCTCTGGGCATCCCCTTTCTCTATCGCATGAGTTATGCAGAGTGGGTTGTACGGGGGCATTCCCAGCTCGCTGGGACTTTGATTTGGATACACTTTTTTTCTAGTTAGTATAGTGTCCGTTACTTCACATGGAAACGCACGGTGTCAGATTACCATCCGGAAGAAAGTCCTCCCTGTAGAGGTGGTGGTGCACGATATTCTGGGTGAGGTTGGGAAGAAGATTCGGGGTCTTGAGAGGGTCAGAGAGCCTCGGGCGGTCTGGATAAGGGCGTGGAGGAATATCAGACCTGCCTTTGGTGAACTGTCCATCTCTGGGTGAGGGGGTCTTTCCTTATACTGTTCTTTTCACTCCCGTAGTTTTTGTTGATTAAGATCTTTTTTGAAGAAGGGCTGCATGCATAAGGGGGGCGGGTGGTTTCTTGACCTCACAGGTTTGATGTCTGGTGTAGTGATGTGAGTGGTAGTACGATTTATTTCCCCAATTATGTCATGTTCATTTCTGAGACGTTTGCTTTTGTCTGACAGCAGATTTTGCTATGTTTATTTTCGTTTTGCTGTAAATATATATAATTTTTTTATATTCTGTATAATATTTTATGTTTATTGATTGCGAGACTTTTAATAAAGAAAAATTGGGGAAGAATGTCCCTTACATTGGGGGGTCAGTGGGAAGAATGTCCCTTACATTGGTGGTCAGTGGTAAGAATGTCCCTTACATTGATAGTCAGTGGGGAAGAATGTCCCTCACATTGGTGGCCAGTGGTAAAGATTGTCCCTTACATTGATGGTCAGCGGGAAGAATGTCCCTTACATTGGTGGCCAGTGTAAGAATGTCCCTTACATTGATGGTCAGTGGTAAGAATGTCCCTTACATTGATGGTCAGTGGGAAGAATGCTCCTAACATTGGGGGTTTGTAGGAAGAACGCATTGGTGGTCAGAATTCGACACTTACAGACAGCTACAAAGATCATTGGTGTCCTACAGCTGGCTCTGCTACGTGGCACTGGCCCTGGAATTAAGCAAGCACCATCAAATGGTAGGTTACTCAGTCACAGCTCAAGGAGCACCTAGTAACCTCTAGGGGAACCTTATGGTTCCACGGAACTCTGGTTGACAATGGCTGAAATAGGTCATGAAATGTATTGAGATTGATCTATTGCAAGAAAGCATATTCCTTCTTTTCCTCTCTTTGTGCACACGTAC